ATGAAATGATTTTTCTCTAAAGTAAAGCCTACTCCATCAATGAAAATACTCAGCATTTATTCATTTTACAATAAATTCAATACTCCAGGTCAATATTAGGCCTAATTTTCGAAAGAATTATGTTTTAATTTCAGTAGATAGTTGCCATTTTAGTAGTATTATAGGTTTATATGGCAGAGATGTTATGTCATATCTTAAATTTTTGCACAATGTATTTGCACAAGAACCCTTTTGCAAGGAAGAGCCTAACACTAATTCATTGTACACGGAGGCAAACACGTCGTGTTGTTGTAGCCATCAATTTCATGAAACTTCGCATGAAACACATAAATTATCTGCAACAATGATAACAAATGTGCAGTATTGTAGTTATACTGTAGAAGGCAAAGTGTTTTGTTACGATACGATACAATACAATACAATAAACTGGAGTGGACTAAGGCTGCATGTCCCATTTTCCAGTTATCATTGATTTATTGTCTCTATAGTGACACACAATAATACATTTGTCTTTGTTTTATGTTGTGATTTTATCCCAATCTGATGTTCATGTGCTAAATGTAGTAGAATATACTACCTTGTAGGAGTGGTTTCTTTGTGACTTTGTTTGAAGGCTTAATATATCCTACCATGGGCTGCACAGTCTCCGTCCCATCATAATTGTAAAATGGTCTTTTATGACCATAGGTACAACACCGAATACATGGCCAGAAACACTGGTTGTACTGTCTCAGCCCAAAACAGCAGTCCACACACGAACATGAATTCCCCATTGTTGATCACTGCAATAACGCCAGGTTAACTACAATAACAAATATGAGTCATATAAGTATGTTACAACGGTGAATATATAAGTCTGCTTCCTTGTTTTATATTTATATTCTCACAGAAAATGTGGCTATGTATAGACTTTTTGAACAAAATACCACACGCAAATAACAAGCAATGCAAGCAAGCACAGTCAATAATTCAAACAATCCTATAATTGTTCAATTATTTCACTTCATGTGCTTATAGCTCATTTATGATCGATTATGTTTTACTTAACATTTACAGACTACCAGGTAAAACTAAATATATATATATATACACTTAACTCAAGATTCATTAAAGTATGGGTCTGAAATTTGGGCTTGTGAATTATCAAATGATGCCAACAACTTGGAACAGGTGTGTAATCAGTGCTATTGTTTTGGGTGTTAGCAAAGTGACCCCAACCATAGCACCAGGGGTGAATTAGGCAGAATTCCTAAAAGATTGAAAGCCTCAATCTCTCAAATTAAATATTGGTATAGAATGTGCACTTTGTCTGGTAACAATATCCTTAAGGCTGCTTTAAATAAAACGGTAAAATCACAGTCAACATGGAT